TTGTCTTGGAGTGAAACAACAGTCTATTATCCATGAAAACATTATGACACACACACTCTATTATTTGCCAGAACTAGTCTCTTTTATAAAATTTTACTTAAGTGTATATTCAGAAGTTACATGGGCCAAACATAAGTTTAACAGCCCATTTATACTAGCTGCTCCCTGAAAGTATGCTTATTTGTTGAATTATTTCTCCAACCCACTCCAACTTCCAATTTCTGCAAGGAAGTCTTCTAAATTTCCTGAATTAAAGTGCCATTAAAAACTGGCTTTGTTCCTTAGATACTTGGTTGGACTCATCAGCTCATCAATCACCATTAACAGAGAATTGCCAGAATTTATTGCCACTATTATCCCTATATCTAAAAACAATGTCTCAGAAGCTTCAAAGAAAGAAAAAACAAAAGCCCTAGTGCAATCATTACTTTTCCTTTTAAAGAATCTCTGCAGTAAACCTCTTCTGAAAAGTAGTTTTGAGGTCAACGTCATCAAGACCACATTATAGAAACGCCAGCAAACAGAAGACCTGCAAGGGCCTCGCTGAAATGCTGCATCTCTGCTGAGGAAAATGTTTGATGGAAGACAAGCTCAGTGGTCACTGAAGACAACTTGTGATTCACTTTATGTTTGCTTGTCGTGGCGGGCTGCTGTGCTGTTCCAGGGCCAGCAAGCAGCCGCAGCTCATTGAGGGCTTCTGCCACATGGATGACAGGGGCTCTTCGTGATAGGAAGCCAAACATCACAAACGAGGGCCTTTAATAGAGTCCAGTTTAGCTCCTTTTGACAGCTGCGGTTGGGGACCATGATTTCAACAGCCTCTAGTGTTTCTGTACTTAGTATGAACTGAGGAGGTATTTACTAGACAGAGAATAAATGCTTTTTATAGCTGTAGAAAATGGGGACATTTTCTACAATCACATAGACATATCCCATTATCTGTGTAGAGTCATTTCTATCATGAAGGCTACTTAATTAAGGCCTCGTCAATCAGAGTGTGATCCTCAAAGCAGCAGCACTGGGGAGCTTATTGGAAATGCAGCACCTCAGGCCCACCTCAGACCTGCTGAACCAGAGTCTGTTTTCACAAGAATCCCAAGGGATTAATACACACATTTAAGTTGGAGAAGCTCTGTCCTCAAACACAAATGCATTTAGAGGCTCTTCCCTAAATTTTTAACCTGTGGATCTCAGTTCTTCAAACGGCGTCAGTTGTGAGGCCTTGTGGAGTTTTTTCAACACTAGTTAGAGGTTCTGGGTGGGGGGGTGCAATTAGCTGAAAAAGACCTCACAGGTGATGCTAGAGTGGTCTCTAATCCCACGTAGACTTCCTCTCCCAGACTGGGGTTGACAGCTATTGCTTTAAACACCTGCACATAAAACAGTTCAGCTTGGCAGTACAAAGAATGATGGATGGGGAGTCAGAAGACTTGACCTTCTTTCTGGGTCTGTGTTACAAGACCAACTGCAGGACCTGAGTAAAGACATAGAGTCAAGGTTTCTTCTCTTATGACCAGGGCTAATCATGACGATTTTATTTACATGAATAGACTGTAGTGATGAATTGTTGATGCATGTGAAAGTGTTTTGTAAGTTATATGATTCTATATAAATGCCAATATTTTCATATGAATTACAGAGTTTGGGGCAGAATTATTAACTAGTATATAATTTTACAGGTCGAAGAACTTTTTTCTTACAACTTACAGTTGGAAATTAGTGCATTCTTTTCTTCAAAATGTCCATTAATGCCCGTTTCTGTGGATGCTGGTAACTGATCTACAAGTTACATTACTAGATTAATGCCTAGTCCTTTTGGAAAGTCAGCATTCTGGACTGAGTACTGTCCCTCCAAAATTCATGTACATCCTGGCCCTCAGAATATGACCTTATTTGGAGATAAGTCTTAGCAGATGTAATTAATTAAGATAAGGTCATATCTGATCAAGGTGGCTGCCAATCCAGTGTCCCTAAAAGAATGCCATGAGAAGCACAGAGACACACACAGAGAGAAGAAGTAACAAAGGAGGCAGAGATTGATCAGCGTGGTGCCCCTAGCAGCCAAGGAATTCCAGGAATTAACACTAAGCCCCGAAACTGGGGAAGTTTTGGCAAGGAAGAATTCTGCCTTAGAGTCTTTGGAGGGAGTGTGGCCCTGCTGACACCTTGATGGCCTCCAGAACTGCAAGGGAATAAATTTCTATTGTTTTAAGCCACGTAGTTTGTGGTATTTTGTTACCAAAGTCCTAGGAAACTAATTCAGTCGGGTTCTATAACTTGACACATGGTCTGGTCTTTCATGAGGGGTGGGGATAAGAATGCTCAGAGCCAAGGCACACATGCTCTTCAAAAGTAAATGTAATGTGATTTGAAAAAAGAGATGGAAGTCATAGAGGTTTTGAGCCCTAGTCAGCAGGAAAAACAGTTTAAATTGTGAGAAACTAAATTCTATTTACTGTTGCAAGTAAGTAGTTATGATTTGTTAAGTAGGTAATTAATACCTGTATTCCAACTAGCAACCCAATAGAAGTTAGAATATGTGGGTCCATGAGCTGTAGAAGTCATTTATACCAGAAGGATGTAGGAGAAAGATAAATAAGGAAATACTACAAAATAACGGATTAAACTGGTAAAGTTAGCAACAAAAAAGTTCCTAGTGCTGGCAAATTTAAAAACTCAAATTTTAAAACCCTTCTTCTGGTGGTAAATTATAAATTAAAAGTGCTGGGGATTCCTTTGCTGTTGTCTATATAAATGAATTATGAAATAAAAAGCACCAGTGAGTGTACTGTGTATCCCAGTTTCTGTTATTCAAGCACCTAGTACGCAGGTCCCACCTAAGCTTGGTGACAGCTATCTATGAAGAGCTACTTAGAATAGTATTTTTCTTTTACTTTTCAATTACAGTTGACATTCAGCATTATTCTGTATTAGTTTTAGGTGCATAGCATAGTGGTTAGATAATACATAGTTTACAAAGTGTTCCCCCCGCCCCCGTATTTCCAGTACCAATGTGGTATCATATATAGCTATTACAATCTTATTGACTGTATTTCCTTTGGGGTACTTTAAATACCCATGACTATTCTGTAACTATGAATTTGCACTTCTTAATTCCTTCAATTTTTTCACTCAGTCCTCTAACACCCCTTCCTTCCAGCAAGTGGCCATCAATCTGTTCTCTCTACCTATGAGTCAGAACAGCACTTTTCAAACTGTGAGTAGCAACCCCTTTGTGGGTCATAAGTCAATTCTGAGAGTCATCATCAGTACTTAAAATAAAAGTGAAAATATAGCAGAAAATACCAGGAAGGGTAAGTAATATTTTGTGAAAAGTTTCTTGATATATATACACACTGGATCAGAATTCCTATGCCCATATAATAATAACAAGAATGGTTATCAGTAAATTGTAATTATTATTTTACTTTAATGATCCATACAATCACAACTTGATCCTAAGTTTTCCCAAGCTAAGCTTTGGATAATTTCCATCAATGGAAGAGAAGATAGGTTACCTTCCATATCCCCCCAAAGGATAGAACTCTTAGTCTTTCAACGGTACTCTGACTTCGGACTTTGATGAGTTATCTGCCTACATATAGCTTCTGTTTATATTCACATTGATCCTTTCTCAGAGTTAGATTTCTGACCTATTATTTACTATGTTTTGCACTGCTGTTGTTATTTCGGTTTTGAATAGATTCATGATATTGCCTATGATATAAGCTGGGATAATAAAGTTTCATTACTTACTAGCAAATCTATTTAGCAAATCTTTGTTTTAAGTTTATAAACATTTGCTATAAGAAAATGCCATATACTAAATTGTGCCTAGTCATTACTGCCATGGTAGGACATTTTAATTAATCTCTGAATTAAAAGTTAAATCTTTATAGAAGTAATTGTTAGAGAAATATGAATTAAAACCACAATGAGATATCACCTCACACCTGTCGGAATGGCTACCATCAATAAATCAACAAATAACAAGTATTGGTAAGGATGTTGAGAAAGGAGAACACTTTTGCACTGTTGGTGAGAATGCAGATTGGCTCAGCCATTGTGGAAAGCAGTATGGAATTTTCTCAAAAAATTAAAAGTGGAACTCAGCAATTGCACTTCTGGGAATTTATCTGAAGGAACCTGAAAACTAATTTGAAAGAATGAATATGCCCCTATGTTCATTGCAGCACTATTTACAATAGATGAGATTTGGAAGCAGCAGCTATGGGACATTTACACAATGGAATACTAGTTGGCTGTAAAAAAAGAAGATTTTACCCTTTGCAACACCATGGATGGACCTGGAGAATATCATGCTAAGTGAAATGAGCAGTTAGAGTGGAGTCTAAGGAACAAGCTGACCTAACAAGCAAAATAGAGACAGACTTATAGATAGAGAGCAGGCTGACAGGTCCGGCAGTGGGGGCTGTGGGGTGCAGGGGGGTTGGTGAGTGGAGGAATTGAACAAAAAAGAAAAAACTCATGGACGTACAAAAACAGTACGATGATTGAGGAGCGAGAGGAGTAAGTAGGGTGGAATAGGTATAAGGAGAATAAATGGTAAAGGAAAAATACAATAAAAATAAACTATTAAAAATTTAATAGAAGTTAACATTATTGATAGACCATTGATTGATTATATGACTTGTCTCAAAAAAAAGACTCAACTTTTGATTAGGTAAATGTTTATTTATCACATAAGAGTGATATATGACAAATAGTTAACATTAAAATAATTGATTCCATCTTTTCAAACCAAAACCTTAGTTGGTATGTCATGTTATTTCTTTAAGTTAATGGTCTTTTCTTTTTAATACTCACTGAGGATATGTTTATTGACTAAAGAGAGAGACAGAGACAGTGAGAGAGAGAGAGAGAGAAAGAGAGATATAAGAGGGAAACATTGTTTGGTTGCCTCTTGTAGGTGCCCCGACCAGGAATCAAATCTGCAACCAACTGAACCACCCAGCCAGGACAAGTTAATGGACTTTTTATTAGAAAGAAAAATAAAAGGACCAGCATTTACAACTTGGAATGGATATAAACTGTAATTTCTTGGAACAGCAATGTTGATGGTTGTGCTGAAGTCCACAACCACTGTCTACTTCTGCTGGCTCCAAGTTACAGTTCAGAAGGTACAGAGAGTCCAAAGATGCTCCATTGGTAAAGTTTCTTTTTAAATACGTGTGTAATAATGACAGCCTGACACTCATGTCACTGTAGTACAAGGAAGACAGCACTAAACCAACACATGTGGGCATGCCACAAGCATGTGTCAGTGTTGCCATGGGTCAGGGCACATGGAAGCATAAAGGACCGTCCTGCTAGTCTAGGGTTATGTCTAGATAGTTTATCCTTCACTCATATTTCTACATACACCCTGAGGTAAACCAATTTTAAATGTGTTTTCTTTCAGTAAACCAGCTATGACAATTTATACTAACAAAGTGAACTAGAACCTACTTGAATAGGTTTTAAATTTGTTTTTTCACTTTTTGTTTTTAATACAAATGCCTGACTGTGTTATCAACCTGCATGCATGAGAAACTGGCCAGCCCAAGCAGTGTATTCATCATTAGCAAATGAAACTAGAAGGAGTCCACTAAGTGCTTCCTTATAATTAAGGTAGTGCAAGGATTTATACTGTAAAACTGATGTGTAGCTTGATCTTTAAAGAGCAGGACCACCAACCAATTATGCAGATACCATGTGTGTGTGTACAGAAGGTATTTTTGACATTCAGTTTTACTACATAGAAACAGAATGAGTAAATTTTTTTGCAAGAGGTAAGTAAAATATTCTATTTGATTCTCCTAGAGGGAAAAAAGGAGTTGAAAGTAGGTCTTGCTGTGGCAGTCATCATCTGTATGAATTTTTCATAGCTGACTTTTCCATCTCCATCAATATCTGATTCCCTGATACGATGAAGCATATGCACACATACAAACACATGCATTCATCTACTTCTTCATCTATTAGTTCTTCTTCTAAGCTTGTCATGGCATGACATAGTTCTGCCACATTGATGTAACCATTGCCATTCTTGTCAAAGACTTGGAACGTCTAGTGGATTTCTACTTCACTGTCTGTATCTCTCATTTTTCTGGCCACCATGGCAAAAAATTCTGGGAAGTCAATGGTGCTATTACTGTCAGCATCCACTTCATTGATCACATTCTGCAATTTGGCTTTTGTTGAGTTCTCATCCAGTGGCCTCATGACAGTGTCAAATTCCTTGGTTGTGATGGTACCAGAATCATCTTTGTCGAATAGAGAAAGAGCTTCCTTGAATTCAGCAATCTGTTCTTCACTCAGCTGATCATCCAGGGTGCAAGGGAAGGTGGGAAGAGCAGAGGGAGGTAGGGTGGCTGCACCAGTGGAGGGGCTATGATGACAATGGTGTTTCTGCTGCTGCTGATGCCATGGCTAAGATGCAGGGTGCACTGGGCTCTGTGCTGCTGCACTGCCACCTGGGCCACCGCCCAACTGCGAGTAACAGTGCCATGTCTGTGAGACTGCCAGCACAAAAATCCTTAGGTCATGTTTTGGATTCAAATTCCAGTTCTGTCATTCACCCAGCTATGAGGCATCTATTCTTCAGGCAGTAGAGCTGATAAAAATTAAGGTCAGAGCTTAAATATATATAGCACCTGGTAGGTGCTTATTTAGTGATGGCTACTGCATGTATTCAACAGTTCCCACAGAAGACATGTCTACAATGGTTCCTGGTCAGCAAGGCAAAGTTCAACCACCAGAATATTTAGACTACCTATAAAAATACACTGATGATATGACACATGTCTAGATAAATTTTATATATTCCCAAGCGTTCTCATGTTTAAATTTCATACTTTTTAGGTAGTAGTTTGTCAGTGGTTGACTTACATGTAGTCACCCTGTCGCAGTGTCTAGCCATGGCTCATTTCCTGTTATCTATAAAATATTCACCAGCTGTAAAGAGTTAGTGGGAGGTCAGGTGTGAAAGCTGTCCCACACCCTCTCCTTCCAATGGCAGGAAAGAGTGTCTGCTCACATGTCTATGTTCTGGGTGGCATACAACTATTTTGAATCATCTTCTAAAAAGAAATCTCTCTTGATCTCCATAGTGGAATCACTTCCTTCTTTGGTTTTCAGAATGGGTTTTCTGGAGCTTAGGGTTCTGTGGATATGCCTTAAATGGCTGGTGCTGAAAGATGACAGTGGACAGGGACGTGGAAACCCCATTTGTGCTGCAGATCAGACAGAGCTGTCCTTCCATGCAGTGCTAAAGATGCTAACATGAAGAGATGAATGTTTTTCATAGAAGCATTTTGAGGCTGGTGGAACATATGCACACATACAAATGCATGCACTTGTATATATAACCAGCTATATCTCTCCGTTGTAGGTGATAATACTGATAAATATTGTGAGCTATGGTTGAAGATCTGGTAGAAAGGACCTACATGTGATTGATCAAAAGCCCTTTCTTTACTAGTCACAAATAAAGGGCTATTTTATCGGTGACCACAGGTGTTGTTTGCAGAGTTGGTTATTGAGCACAGCTTTTTGTTTTAGACTTCTACTCCTTCTAAGTGACAGGCAAGTTTGTATATGCCAAGGTGCTAAAATTTGACCTTCCCAAACAGGCAGAAGGCATGAACAAACACATTATATTCAGATAGCACATAAAACAGCAATCCAATGAGCTTCGGCTGCTGCCAGCCAGCTGTACCACATTTAATGGCCTCTAGGAAGCTGAAGGTCTGGGCACCAGGAGAGAGGGAATCATCAGTTTTCTCATAGTACCAGAGTACTCTTTTATGGTTTTGGATCATTTACATAAACATAATAAAATATACAAAATTCATTTTGCCACATTACTTGCAAACTGGTTTAGAATTCCTCAAAAAGCATTTTCTAGGATTTTGTCCAGGTCTCAGCACTCAACCCGGAGAGTGCCCACTGAATATGTGTGTTGCATACATAAAATTTTTATGTATGCAAATGCAAATCCAACAAATGCCATCTGTGACCCTTAGAGTTTCTCGATCTGATTTCCTGAGACATTAAGCTTTCCACATAAATAAAAGAGTTAACATAATAATAATAGTAATAAAAACCCTATGGTGTCATTCCCATAGCCCATTCTCTCTTTGCATAAATAGGTGTTTGCTTCCGAAAGTCTAAGCAGACATGAGAAAAAAGGCACCAACAGATGATGACTTAGCTCCATTGCAAAGGACACAACTTTGATGCTCCTTGATCTTTTTGCTATAAAGCTCATCTCCTAATGAGATGGTTGGGAGATTGTCAGGTACCATGTAATTGTCAGAGAAACAAAAACACCAATATTCACAATACAGATAGGCTGAAGAGAGCTAACTTGCTCTCTGCAAAAACGGTGATGAGAAAGGTTGAAAATAAGAACATAACTGCCCAATTGTACATTGGCATCCCAGGCCAGTCTGGGAGACATGACATAGCAAGGCAGCTTTTATTTACCCTGGGTTCGTGTCAGCCTGCTTCTTCTTCTACCCCCTGCACCTTCTGTGACCCTTGCCTGCCAGGGCCAAGTTCTCAGACTCTGTGGAGCTGCTCAGGGCTCCCCAGCATGCCACTTGCTGTGGCTCCCCTCACTTCCTGGTCCCCCTCTTTCTCCATTGAAATATCTGTCCAGCAGCCTCTCCCTCCGCTGCCTGGTCTACCAATCTGATTCTATTGTGAGGGTCAGATAATATCTTATTGCAAATGAATGCATTCTTACTAACAGAATTTCAGGCAACGATAATAATTTTGATTTGCTGACCCTTTAAACTATACACAAAACCTTCACCTATTATGCTCAATTGTGCTGATATTACTGGAAAAATATGTTTTGGTATAAGAAACCATCATTCTGTCAAAAATTATCACTTAACTAAATGGTATTAAATGTACATATTTTCATCATCTCAACCCCATTGGCAGAATAAAAATTCTGCTTGAACTGAAAACTGAATACTTGGCCTTACTCATTTTAAATAGACGACTTATTGACTAGGTCTCAGGCTTTTAAGTTTGCGATTTATTCTTTATTTTTAATAAAATGACCATATGCTCATTTAAGGATAGTACAAGTAAATTCCCTCTCATTTATATTGTCTGTTTTTTGGCTTTTTTTTACCTGAACAATATAATAAGGGCAAGATCTTACATATTAATGACTGCTTTTAGCTAACTGATTATAGTATTTACTCTCTAATTCCACTGAAAGTATATTCGGTTCTAAATTCAACCTTTTGATTGCTGGTTTCTCTTAGCATAGATGGGTTTATTTCATTTTGATTTACTCACTCTCTGAACAGTTAAATCATTTCTCAATGTCAGCACTCATCAAAAATGTCTCACAAGGAAGTGCTTTCCTTATTAGCTTAACGATTTACTGTTTTGCATGTCTAGATGCTTCCACTGCAATCAACAATCTTTTATATTAAACTAAACTTTTACAAAAGCACATGGGAGTGAAAGTGATTTCAAATTAACCTGTAATGTCAACAAATTAATATGATTTCTTTGCACAAGGTTTGAGGGGTTCACAAGATCTCATGGATTCTCTCCATGGGTCTCCTGATTTAGTGAGAGTTTCCTGGGGCCAGTCCCACACTTCCAACCTCCTAGAATATTTCCAGGAGGGTGGTATTTCCACCTACATATCATATCTGCTGGTCTCTCTAATTCATGACATCATCTTCCACTCCACCTTCCTGCAACAAATCCCTCTTGACTGTTTTATTTGTATTAGTATTAGTTTTATTTCTATTTAGTTCATTTTTTTCACCAGGAAACTACAGTGTTTTTTCCCTGTTTTAATATTCTATGTCTATACCTACATTTATATATAACTCTTTATTTAAAGCTCCACATCCAAGTCCCTAAGTTCTAGTCATTCATCCTTCAAGATTCTTTTTTCCAATTTGTCTCCTCCTGCCCCATTAATTCAGCCCCTTAACTTTTCATTCCTAAACAACTGCATTCCTAAACAATTAAACTCTAATTGTTCAACTACCTCTTAGTTTGTCTATTTTCTTTCTGGGGACGAAATGGATGTGGGAGAAGAGGGAATCCAAGGAGTGGAGGGTGCTTTTGTTGCCCTTACCCATTTCACTTTCCCAGTGGCTTCCTCTTACCATCTTAGAGATCCGTTATGTGTCTCATGACTAGACTACAACTTATCAATGGTCAGGGCAGATCTGACTGAGAGCTTTTTCTTGTGAGCTCCAAACACAATGTGTGCTTTATAAATAAAATTTAATCAACAGTATTCATGAATTTATTTTTGTCCAGTGAGGCATCTCAGTAACTGGCTACCTTCTCAATGCCCATGTACACATCTCATTATCTCATTCTAAACTCTCTCACCCCCACAGATGACACTCTCCTGTTTGGGTCACTGGATGGCTGAGTCACTTTTGTGTCATCCACTGCACTTCCATGTGGACAAATTTTCTGTAACTCCAGATTCCACATTGAAACTAAAACAAGCAAAATAAACAATTGCACACCAACAACCCAACTGAGAACTGTTTGTTCTAAAGCTATCAAGGCTTTTCAATTATACGTGGTTATGGCTAGGGAGTTCAGTAGCTTTGAACAGAATCCAGAGTGTTTTACCTGATGGCACTAAAGCAAACAGGTGATGTTGCCATCCCCCAGCAAATTTTCTCCTCTCCTACACTTTATTTTCTTTCATTTGTTTTCCCAATTTCTTGTCTCTGAACTTTCTCCTAGACAAAATTTAGAAAAGTATTATTTTCAAAATACAATTCCACCTTCAACCAACGGACATGGTATAGGAGAGAATTCAAATGAATACACATTCATGAATTTTTTGAAGGCAGAGTGTCACCTCTAGGCAAGCAAAATAACATCTGAGCTCCCCAGAGGGACAAAAACATGTCATGTGAGCAGACAAGGTCTGATTCCTGGGAACATCCAGACTGGATGGGAAGCATCTGACTACCTGAGACACTAGAAGGATGAGCGTCTTGGCTCCTGGCCTCTGAGATGGGAATGCCTTGTGGGAGAGGCCTCTCCCTCACCTATCCTTGGAATGCATGTGTTTAATCAGGGTCGCTTGACTTGAAATGGGAGTAATGGAGGGCCCCAGGGACCCTTTGCCCAGCCTGGTGTTTCCTTTACCCAAGCACACTGAATGACGCAGGATGCTAAAAAGTAGCTTGGCATGCCTATATAGATGAGTAGCAACCCTGTGCTTGAGTTGTTGGATACATCTCACTTTTTTCCTTTAAAAATATTTATTTTTTTAGAGAGAGGGGAAGAAGGAGAGAGAGAGGAACTATGATGTGAGAGTTGAACACTGATCGCTTGCCTCTCATATGTTCCCTGAACCCACAACTCAGGCATGTACCCTGACTGAGAGTCAAACCAATGGCATTTGGCTCTGTGGGGATGATGCCCAACCAACTGAGCCATATCAGTCAGGGGTCACTTTTTTGCTTTTAAAATGTAATGTTCTGAGGGAAGATACTGTATCTTACTATCATACTGTTCATATCCAATACATATAAGTAACAATGAGAATCACCATCTTAAAATAAATGATGGAAATTTATGAAGTGAGGTTTATTCTTACCAGTAGGTGTCTCTGTCCCATCATGCTCTCCCCAAATTTGCCTAGGTTTCTCCCGGAAATACAGATGTTACATAAAAGGCTTCTCTTCTTTAGAAATTATATACTTTAAAGAGAAGATATAAAATGGCTTCTCTTTTTATTTGTATTCACTTCCACTCTGAATTTGGACTTGCTTTGCTGCACTGGTTGCTGATAATGTTGTCAGGAGTTTTCAAGATACTCCCTTTTCATTCTTTGGTACTTAAATCAGCTTTCTTGCTAGGCTTCATCTCACTCCAATTAGTGGTGCATTTCTGACCAAAGTAAAAATAACTAAATTTCTAGGTATGTGAGGCTTCTCAAAAGGTCAGATTATTTCTTTTAAACATTTTATTCCCTCCCCATTAATGAAGGTCTGCTTTGAATGTCCTTGGGAGTTGTCTCCCATGTTAATTTCCCAGAGATGAGAGGCCTTGTGTAACTATGTACCCTCTGGCTCCAGACTACCTGGGTCCAAGTCTTGACTCTGCTTCTTATTACTTGATTAATCTTCTTGGAGCTACTTACTCATTTTATGCTTTAGTTTCCCACATATAAAAGGGGATAAGGAGGATACTAGTACTATGTGATAAAGTTGTTATAAAGAATGAATATAATACATCCAAAGTGGTTAGAACACTACATGGCACGTGATAGTGTGCATAAATATCTTTTATATCTACAGGATATATATGATACCTATTCATAAACATGACAAATAAAAGCTAGTTCCCACTTGGCTTAGCTGAAATGAATTGACAAGGTTACTAGAAGGGGTGTCCAACCTGTGGCTCGGGGGCCATATGGAAGGACTTTTTTGCTTATCAGTGATGGCGGATATCACAACATTTATGCATCAGCCTTTTTTGCTCATCAGTTTTTGTTAGTGTTTGTGTATTTAATGTGTTGTCCAAGACAACTCTTTTTCCAGTGTGGCTCAGAGATGCCAAAAGGTTGGACACCCCTGTGTACAGGGCATATGTGCACCTTCTTTGTGACTCGTGTCTCAAAGGCTGTGAAACTGCAAATACCGTGCAGGTTTTCCCTGAAGTTAGTTGTTCTCACTGCCCCAGTACTCCCATAGCAGAGAACCATCAGCCAGCTTCCATCCACCACAACCCAGGAAGCTCCTTTCCATGTGGAGTTGGATTTCATGCTTTGAGATGTTCCAAACACAACTTGAAAAATGGAGAAAGTGAGATTAATAGGGAATACATCAATGTGAAAATGATCCACCATGAAGATTCACAAAATGATGCACAAAAATTTTAATGAAATAGCCCAGCAGCTATCCTGATTTTCCAAGCAAGATTTGATGAGGGTATAAACTACATGGAGAAGATGTTTAATAGTAACAACCAAGCACTTACAAGTATCAGCTCTTCCTTGTATCTCACACATTTTAAGGTAGGTAGTATAATCATCCTTAGTTCACAGGGGGAAGATGAAAGGCACAATAGTTAAGGCCATGCACAGTGCTAAATATTTGGCATATGTTGATTCATGTTGTCCTCCTTATTACAATATCAGCTGATGGTACTGCTGTCCTCATTATAAGAAGTGGAAAACTGAGGCACAAAGAGATTAAGTAAGTTGCCCACAGCAGGCAAGTGGCAGAGCCAGGATTTGAAGCCAGCCAGTCTTGCCCAGAGACAGCTCTGTTAAAGAAAGAATTAGTGTGGCAGCTCTCAAACTTGAGGTTGAGTGAGAAGAATCACTTACTGCAAGTCATCCATTGAGAAGAAGCTGAAAATTGGAGAGGACTGTGACTGCCTAGGACTGCCTGGGAACGCCTGGCTAGAACGGCAGTGCTGGCTCGGGGTGCACAGCACAGCAGTAGTCAATAATACTGTAATAACCACGTGTGGCATCAGACGGGGGACCACTTTGTAAGCTACACAAGTGTCTAATCACTGTGTTGTATACCTGAAAGTAATATAATATTGTACATTAATTGAAATTAAAAAATAATAATTAATAATTAAAAGTTATTTGCATGATAAAAAGGCAGTGCTGGCCAAGGAGAAGGGACCTGGCTCTGGTTTGATGAATGTGTCTATACACTCTTGTCTGAAAATGAATCATTTGGTCCCTGTTCCCTTGCCTGTTGAATTTCCAGGTGAAAGGCTTTGAATGGTGTGGGCCTGTGTATGAATGAGTGTGTGTGTATGTGTGTGTGTGTGTGTGTGTGTGTGTGTTTGAGGGGAAAAATTGTTGCTAGGTTTCAGGGTGAAGGTCCTAGCACAGATTAACCAACATGTCCACACAAAGATAAGTAAATCTGAGTGCCAATCCGGAATCTGTGTGCTTTCTGTGTTGGTGTTATTGGGAAAGGACGGCTGGTTTCAAATCCACGGAAGTCATTGCAAAGACCCTGAAATTGGGCTTAGAGATGTAGGCTGTTGTCAATTTCTGTTCAAGAGAGACTTTTTAATGCTCTAAGTGGGAAAGCGGATTCTCCCTACGAGTGCACATACAATACAGAAAACTGCCACTGATGCTATATGGGGTTTAATTCCTTTTCAAAAAGTTTTGAGAACAGAACAAAGACATTATGTTTATATGGTGTATTTGAGAAGTCTCCTGTGTAGGACACAACTGTAGAATGATCATTTTTCTGTTCCTATGCTGGCACCTGACAATGCCTGGTGTAAAGCTAGAATGGGGCATCCACCTGAGGCCCTGAAGGTCTTTTTGTTCCACACTGAACCAGAGTGCTGGGGCAAAATCTAATTTCTACTGTCAGGAAACATTTTTAACTTGCTCTTATGCCCTGTGCTATTTTTAATAAAGAGTTTTTGAATACTAAGTAATGGCTCATATCTAGCAACTTCTCTCAACTTGCTGTATCTTTTGCCCTGCCCTTCAATTAAACTGTTGTTTCAGGGGTCACTGATCCTACCCATCCAAGAATTCAATGTCACTTTGCAGCCCTTACTTTTCTTGACTCATTGGTATAATTTTACTCTACCGATGGATTTTATTCTTGAGACCTTCCTTTCCCTGGGTTTCCATGATGTTACAGCATCTCTTCATTTTCCTCTTACCTTCTTGGCTGCTTCTCAGTATTCACTGCATATGTTCTTTACTTATCCTTTCAATGTTGGTATTCTTTTTTCTATTCTATTCTATTCTATTCTATTCTATTCTATTCTATTCTATTCTATTCTATTCTATTCTATTCTATTCTAATTCCATTCCATTCTAACATTCTATTCCATTCTATTTTATTCTAATATTCCATACCATTCTATTCTAACATTCTATTCTAGTTTAGTCTCATTCCTCCCAGTGGTTCCAAATATTATCTATGTCCTGATAGTCTTTGAATCTACATTTCCAAGGCAGATAATCCCACTGCTGCTGCCTCTACCACTAATGAGTTATTTGAGGCTGGATGCTTTACAACATTACTTCCTTTGTGTCTCCCCCAAATCCTGTTAAGTAGGTAATATTGTTACCCCAGCTTTTGATGAAGAAATACTTTTTGTAATGTAATGTCTAAGTTCACACAGCCCCTAAGTGACTTGCACCTAGGTCCTCACTGACTCAAAAGCCCGTGTTGCTGTGGACTATGCTACCTGTGAATGACCATCAAAAGACTACTGGAGTCTCTGCCTTTAGTTCCAGATCTGTCCCATGGATACCTTTTTACTAAACATCCCTTAGACAGAGGGACATCCTCTGTCCCTCTCTCCATCTCACAGTGATGCCAGCATTCTCCATGTTTCCTCTCTTCTTCCCTTCTCACCCAATCAGTCCCCTAAGCCTGATAATTGATCTCTTAATTACCTTCCCTATCTATGCATTACTCTTCTCCCCTTTTCCCATTCCCTGAGTGTGAGTCTCCATCATTTCTTGCCCAAATTAATGCCTCGGCTTTTGGACCCTACGTCCTGCTCCTTTGAGTGTACTATCCACACAAGTACCAATCAGCATTCTTAAATACAAAGCCATCTTCCCACAACCCTCACTGTAAAGTTTCATCCTGACGTGGACTGTAAGGCACTGTGTTATCTCGCTCTTGCCTATTGTCCAAGACCTTGCCCACCTCCTGCCCCATTTGCCTCATCCTCTACTCGCATCCCGGCCTTCCACTCTAGAATTCTTCTCCTCCCTCTCAGAGCCCTGCTCTCTCTTGTCTAGGAGGCTGTGAAAATGCTGGTCTCTTTGCCTGGAATGTTCTTCTACTTCTCCCCCATTAACTCCTCTCCTTATGTGGTTTGTAGTAAGGTCAAGTGTTCTTTGAAACTATGTGTTCCTTAGGACCAGCTCGGATGTGTCTCCTCTGTGTGCCCACAGCTCTGTGTGGTTCTCCTAGCCGGATACTCACCACACTGAGCCACCCCTGCTCATCTGCTGCCGATTGCTCATGAGCCCCCAAGTTTTGCAAAGATAGTGCCATGTCCACATCCTCCTTTCTCCGCCTTCCATCCCCACTTCCTGGTATATGGCGAATGCTGAATGAATATTGGTTGACTGTCTGACTAAACCTGGAGTGCCTGTCTTCCTGACACTGTCTCAAAAATGGCCAGGAAGGAACATAGCAAACTGTCATTCTGCTTGTACTGTCACACATGTCAAGTCCATTTGGATCAGCCCTTGGCTCAAGGAACCTTTTGCCATGCGGGTCCCTGGTCAAGGGGTTTTATGAACCAGGCCCCACTCTCTCTACAGGAGGGGGATCATCTTTCGGAAGGCATTCCTTGCAAAACTTATTACTCTTCTTAGGAAGCATAGGGATGGCTGAGCCACTGTGATTCATCCCCTCACTCTTGCTGCTCTGCAGCTGCTGCCTTTGTAAACCCCACCATCCATGACCATGACAGGGGCCACTGCAGCACTTTCCTGCTCTTTTTGCCTATGGATTCCCCTTTCCTCAGCTGTCTCCTTCCTGTTGCCTTGGGGAGCTTCCAAAAATACTTGGCTGATCATTGTTGTTTCAGAATCTTGGTTTGCTTCCTATTGCCTACAAGATAACATTGCAGCACTTTAGCAAGGCTATTGATAATTCTTCCCCACACCTAATTTTCCATGCTCATCTATGCTCATTTTTCTATAATAATCTATGAGCTCTTGGAGGGAAGAAACTATGCCTCATTCATCAATCTATCTATTCATCAATCGCCAATTAATTCGCCAATTAGATAAGCCTTACTGTGTGCCAGGCACAAGAATAAATTGGTGATTACAGTCAGACATGAATCCTGTTCTCAAACTGGGGATATAAGCATTAATAAAATAATCAATAAATGAGTTTATTTTATAAATAAATGTGTTCTATGAAGGCTGAGGTTCTATATAACAAGGAAGACACCTAGACTGGGGGTCAGGGATGCTTCTCTGAGGAAGTAATAGTTTATATGAAGGATAAGGAAGAGTTAAGTAGGGGGAGCATGTGAGACAAGTTTATATTCCTTCACTGTTCAGAGCTCTCCTTCAGTGCACAACACAGAAGAGGCACTCAGTACGTATCTGCCGAATGAATCAGGAATGGTGGGAAAAAACACCTAGGAAAATGTCAGTTTAGACTCTGTCCTACAAGAAGTCTATAAACCAAGTTGTGCTGTGAGACTCCAGGATGTGCCTGAAGAAGAGATAAACATCCTTTGTTCACTTGGAGGATGACAGTTCCTCTAGACAGGCGTACAAGGTCCAGGGTCTTAGCAGGCTGCAAAACAATTGCTTCTCACCTCAACTCAGTTGGAAAGGTAAAATTGAACTGAAAGTTAAATGAAGAACTGATTAATTCCAGACATACGCCTTGTCACAAAACATCCAGGGGACGCTAGGATGAAACTTTACAATATGTCCATTGGGTGCATAGACAGTGGGGAGGCCACCTGGGGCTACCCTTCTATCTAAATTACCAAATTCAGTGGCATGTCAGTACACAGAGTTCCTGATGCTTCAGGCCCTACCTTTGGCATAGTCTGATTTTTCAGCCCTTTACACACAGCTTTAATTTGCTATTCATGAAAATTTTTGTGTTCAGAGAATCCAAGTGAGTTTTGGATTCCTCCAGGTCAAATTTCTTTTAAGTTTGCATGATGCCTTCTTCAGGCAGGGACTTGAAGCAGGGCATGTCCAGTGCCTTGGACTGACTTTATCTGCTCAATCCACCTTCCCCTTTGCAGAAAGTACAGCATTGCTTTTTAAATATATAATTTAAAATAGTGTATTAAAATTGCAACTTGCTTTTAGTTATTGAAGGTGCTTCATGGTTGGTTCAGTTTTTGTAAATAAAAGTAGCAAGGAACATGCGCATATACTTATCAACAATTACCGATTTTCACTTCCAAGCTAGGAAACAATGATTTGCTTCTCTGCTATTAATGGAAGCATTCTTATGGTGGTACTGATTATATCTGGGGTTAGAATATAAGGAGATATATCTTTGTAATCATAGACACTAGTAGTCATAATTGCCTGGGAAGTCCTTCAAAGACAGGAAATATGAGATCATGACTGGTAGTTCTGGTGGCAAAAGTCTGATATTTATAACAGAAAGCTTAACATTAATTAGAAAGTAATCAAATGACAAGGCAGTCTTTGCTGTCGGGAAAGATATATTTTAAAAAGTCAAAACATTGTGAGTCACTCTCTTACAATGCAATTCTTTGTTTTGTCTCTACCTGGTTAATTTGCAAACCAACTTCTACTCAGAGAGGAAGTGATTTTTACATAAAAAGCACTGGAGCAGCTTTCTTTCACTATACAGTTTGAATTCTACAGAGTGTCTTTTAAACTCTTGAATATTTTGGTTGTAAGGAAGCTGAAACACATAATTTTCTAAATTATCTTGTTTACTTTGACCTAATCCAATGACTAACAAAGATAATCTGAACCTCTGCCTGAACTGTTTTAGATACTAGCTAGCATCATAAGATCTACAGGGGAATAAAAGGCAAACGATTCATTGGCTTCTTAAAATAGGAGGCTTAGATTAAAAACTGTAAAACACTCAAGAAATTAAGGCATCAAAAATGAATGCTTTTTAGTGGCAAAGAATGAGCAAAAGGCATAATGCCAGGTTCTTTTTCTTTCCTCCCCTAAAGCTTCTTTAAATACAGTGACAGAGTTACTTTATACAGACCTATAGCCCAAGGAAATTACTTGAAAATGCAAATGGTAGCTCCAGGGCTTCCTGATAACTTAATAAAAGCATCAAAGGGAAGAAAAGAGAAAATTGAATGGCAGCTTGCTTATGATATTGGAGGACAAAGGTCTTACTGAGGGTGAATCTTGCAGATTTGGCTAGGAATTGCCCCCGCCCAGGGACAGTGGCCCTGAAGGATCCGGAACTCCTTTACAACCACCCCTTAATTTGCATCTTAAATATTTTAAATTAATTCCAGATGGTCTGGTGGCTTTTGGTGAGCACAGGATACCACATAAGTATTTGCACTGAGCTGAATAATCAGTCTTCCTAAAGTTCTTGGATTTAGGTTAAGGTGGGGCAGTTGCAACAGACTAAGGCATCTGACTGAAGGCCCTTTTGCTGGAAGCCAGCCTACCTCACACACAGAGCAGCTGAAAAATCCACTTCCTGATGGACAGTCAATGACACGCCAAAACGCCTGTGCTCTTGGTAATCAGAGGCCATAGCAGAGGGCTGCAGTCAACTGCCCTAACCCACCCCTCTCACTCTGCATAGGAGTCATCATTTTTCTTCTGCTGGAAGTTTTCTTTCTTATAAAATGCCTCACACCATTAAAATTCACTTAATGTTCTACTCCACTTACAATTTTAGCATGTCAATAGTTCCCTAATGTTCAGAGTTATATTTTTATTTTCTGCATTACACTTCTAAAGCCTTTCCTTAAGTTCCATCCTAGTGGCTAATGTGGAAAAGAGAACTCCAGGATCCTGATAACTGGGAACCTTTTAGGTGGCTGGCTTAGAGGGAGAAAAAAGAGAGGAGAGAATTTTCAATAAGGGTCTGTGAATTCAGCCTAAGAGTACATTTCATCAGTCCGCACTGAACTTTACACATATGTAAATATCCTCATTTTTAAAAAGAAACTTTTAAAGACATAATGTCTTAGACTATTTAAATAAACCATTTGTTAGGACTGGAGTCAGAAATCCATGGAAATTGAGGTCTATACTTGGCAGATGTTTCATGGTTAAAAGACAATCGTGAGTAATTCTCCAGATCTTGGGGAACAGTTCAGTTATAGCTACCTCCCATCCATCCACTCACCCATCCATCCACATAAAATTTCCTTCCTTCCTTCCTTCCTTCCTTCCTTCCTTCCTTCCTTCCTTCCTTCCTTCCTTCCTTCCTTCCTTCCTCCCTCCCTCCCTCCCTCCCTCCCTCCCTCCCTCCCTTCCTTCCTTTGTGTGTTTACAAGATACAAGAAATACAAAAGTGAATATTACAAGGTTACTCTAGATGCTGTATTCTGGTGAGAGAGAAGGAGGAAGGAAGGAGGGGAGCAGGAGGTAATGTAATGGGGAGGTCTGGCCAGATCACTGGGAGTTTAGAGAGAATCCCTGAGGTGGTGAACACCTGCTTTCTCCAGAGAAGGGTGGGGCCATAGGAGGAGACTGCTAGGCAACAGTAAACAAGCTAGTGACAGCATGCATTGCCCCGAGCAACTGAGCAGCACAAGCCAGCACTTGACACAGCAGAAGGATGTTTGTACAGAGTGGCTCTTGGCTAGCAAAACACTTGGACAAGGGAAAAAGTCTTTCCTAAGTGCTTCTAGCATGTGTGGGATTTTGGGCTGGGACTTTAAAAATAAGGTGTGTGTATGAACTCATGCTCTTTTTTTCCCCACTAGCCTGGTCAGGGGTCTAAGGCCTGAGTGTTCTGGGGTGGTGGGCCCTGGAGACCACTTGACAAGGTGACAAGCCCCACACCCCACCCTGTACAAGAGATGGTGGCAGCATGCCTATGCCTGGCCAAGCTCACACAGACTTGAGAAAGGTGCCTGAAGCTGGACTGTGACTAGGAACTAGCTATCATGCTGCAGGTACCTGTGCATCACAAGGATGGTATTTTTAAATGAGAAAAGGGATTCCAGGCCCAGCTTTGAACTCATCTGGCAGAGGGTGGAAGAGTATTTGATTTTGGGTG